AACCCCCAGGTAATGTGGCTGAAGTCGGAGGCAAGCTGAGGGAGATCATTTTATAAGAGGAAGTTGATATAATTTAAGGAGATGTTGTAAGTATAAATATTGATAGTATTGCATGTTATGAAAAATTAGAAATCCAGTTTTGTATAGATTTGTTGGTTGACCTTGGATTTTAAAAAGTGAATTATGATTGCTGGAGCCTAAAGGGATCCTGATCATGTTGAATTCTATGATCTCTCTTTCTCTGAATCTCTCATCTGAGTTTTTATAGCTCACAAAGTTATCCAAAATATTTGAGAAAAAAAAATAATGAGTCTGTGGGAAATAAGATGATACCAGTGAGGAGGGTATAATGTAAAATTTTCTTTTTTAAAATTATTGTATATATAGTCATTTAAGCTTTTCTGATGACATGAAAGACTCCTGCAGGTTTCTCATCAAACATTACAACACAAGAGGAAGCTTTCACTTTTGAGACCCATGTATGATTCAGTCATTATGAAATTTGTTAGTGAGCAGCATTCACATAATTTCACTACAGGATAAAAGACTAAATTAAGACATTTACAAAATGTAAAATCAGGACAAATTTTTCACATACAACTATAATGATAAGATTCATAGACAACTATGATAAGATTCATAGTTTTATCTAATTTGTCAAAACCAGAGGATTTTAGCACCTTTTGAACTGTTGAAGGCAGAGAATACATTAACCATAAAATCTTGGAGGATGGTCATTTACACTACACTTGAATCACCCAGTATTTCACTTATCTCCCTCCGACTGATTTGTCTCAAAGGAGAGACTGTGGACTTTTTGTTCTGCCTAACTACAATGGCTGAAGAAATGAGCACTCTGTTGCTAGGAGTCCCAGTGTTTCTCTGTTGACCTCCATCTCTTTATCTTCTGATGGCATGGATTTTGGGGAACAACACCTGATGATGATGTTGTTTTTTTTTTCTGTGACACTGGGATTTACTAACACTGTGTTGTAATCAGAGTGGAATGTTGTGTGAGGGTGTTCTTCTTTGTGGCCTAGTTGAACTTGCTTAGTAAGTATTGGATGAGGAAGTGTGTGTATTGTTCACCTAGAAAGGTTATAGAAACTAGAAAAAGAGTGGTGAGGATGTAAAAATTTAAACCAAACACTTTTAATTTTTACTGACTTGTTAACCATTCCTTTTATTGCATGGTATTTACCTGATGATGAGAAATGCCATATGTTAACCGGAAGGGTGGAATTGTTAACTTTTATTTAATAATTAAAAATGTATAGCCTCTTGAACAAACCTTATCTGAATCACTTGTTGCTTGAACACCAAAGTCAGAGGGAAAAATGAGATGTTTATGAGTAAATGAAATCATCACTTAATTATTAGACTAAGTTATTTCATGGTTATACTGGTCAAATACACCCCTTAAGTCTGTCTTTGAGTGATTGATTGTAATGTAATATATGTAGCAATCTGGATCCTGTTGTCTCTCACAGCTTTTGACATTTCTGTATATTGGCACAGTATCATCCAATACCATCAGACTATACAGTAAACAGCCTTGATTCTCTTTGATATTTCGGGAAATAGATTTTCATGTCATGCCAAGTCAAACTTGCTAACTAATGACCAAGACTTACATTATATCAGGCTGTGTCAGCCAACATGGAATATTTTCACACAACTATTATATTTATATTTGGAAGATCTGATTGCTAATATTAGCACAGGTTTGACCTTTCTAATAAAAAGACCTTAATAATAACCATATATATTGTAGAAAATGGTAATACATTGTACAGCAGGTACTTGCGGATATTAATAATTTTTGTTTTGAACTCTGTCATATCTTTTATGATTGCTAGCCTCTGTGATAGTGATGGAGCCTGGAATAGAATAATTAAGTGTTGATTTACGGGCCTGTCAGTCATTCCAATATCATGACCATGTTAAATTCACGGAATGCATGTCAAATTGAAAAACTGGAAAAATTTTAACAAGTGTGACTCAGCCCCTAGCTAGTTATAGACAGGAACTGATTGCATAGGTAGTGTAACAGCTACGACACTGACCCTGCTAAAAGTCACTGAAGGTAAGAGTTTGATCTCTAGAAATTTCCTTTTTTTCAAACATTAAGTCTGTTTTTCTTCATTGTGATACATTGACAAATTGGTCTCTGAAGTCCACATGAATTCTATCAGAATTAGGCCACTTATTGGTCACTTGACAGCATTAATGTCTAGATAAAAATTAGCTGATAATAAAAACTTTTCAATATGGCCCTAGGTCAGGAGTATTGCAGTGGTGGCCTCAAGGCTTGATTTATGAGCTGGAATAGTTGTGCTATGATAATATTTTTTTTGTATTTTATGGATGATGTTTTCAATGGAGCCTCATAGCCAGGGGACACTATTGATACAGAACTGGATTTTTGACAGAAAGTTGTAGTTTTCTGAAGCCAGAGGAACTGTTTGTACCAGGGAACAAGAGTTTTACAGAGTTACTACAAAGAACAGAATTTTATGACCTGAGAAGGAATAACTAAGCTGTGTTGTATTTTTTTTTTTATCTTGGTATATTTGGATTTTAGCATTAATTATCCTAGAAGTGAGAAAAAAAGGTATTTATATCTTCACATTTTAATTTCACATTAAGCAGTGTACATACTGACATTTACTTGAAAATGCATTTTCTGCAGTCTCTTACATACTCATGCAAACCAGACAGAATAAATACTTGTCTCAGGTCAAGGAATTGTGTGAAACACAGAAAAGAGATATGGATTTGAATTTCACCTGTGCATTCGTTATCTGCACCACATACATAATTTCCTTACAGAAAGTTTTGTTCCGTGTGTACTGACTTTTACCTCAGGTTGACATTAAAGACAGACATTTATATGTGCTTGTAATTGAGGAGAAATTGTTTAACTGTGTCTTGTTTTACAAATGACATTCCTAGTTTCAGGTCAGAAATCAGAGGTTTTGGTTTTGTCTAATTTACTTATCCGTCAACTTGCCTGCACCATCTCATGAAGTCTTTAGAATGACTCAGGTTTCTATTTGTGAGACGATCTGTTATATAATCTTAAAAGCTGTTATTGGAGAAATGCTTGACTTGGGACATTTATACAGTGTACTCAGGATATGTAAGAAATTTATAGTCTTCCATGGATCAATTTTCTCATTGAAAAGGTCTCCTGTGGGAAAAAAAAAGAGGAATAAAGGAAAAACCCTTTTAAATTCGACTTGATTTAGTAATAATTACTTCATTGATTAGGGAAGATCTGCAGTTTATGATCCCATATTTCCCAATTAACATGTGTTTATTGGTGAAAATATACCTGTGGAGATTTTCATCATCAAACTTGTTTATGAAGATTATTAGCAAAGAAAGCTGCTATTTCTTCCTCTATAGATCAATACCAAACCCAGACTAAATCAGCTGTTTCTAACGGATATTGAAACATCACCAGATGTACCAGATTGTCAAAGTCACACTCCTTCACCCAAGTTTTTATGACTGTCATTTAGAGTTAGTCATTTCGCCTAAAGATTGTTAAAATCCTTTTGTTTTTGACTTGCTAGCTTGGTTGGAAAAATTATCTTTTAATGTTAAGTGTTGCATCAAAGGTTATGAGATAATAATTTTAAAAACTTTTTTTTTCAGTGTTGGTAGATCCTGAATCTGTTCTTTTAATTACTGTTTGCGAGATAAACAGGGAGGTTCCCTGGCTTATCTTATATTTGACATCACCATTCCTTAAAAGTTAAATGGTTTTTGCATACCAAATTTGATCCAGGGTTTCTGGGTATGGAAAGTTTCAGACTGTTTAAATTAAATGACATTGTTTTATGTTAATGTTTCTTGTCTGATATGCGCATGAGGAGTGCACACTGACTTTGGGGGGAAAAAACGTGTATACATGCGTACCTTTTGTGAATTGTTTTCTCAGAAAAATCATTAGAACATAAGTTCTTTTTTTAATTTCTTACCATAATAACCACCATGGATTCTACAAGGTGAGATTGTGAAATTTTACAAATGTTTTACATTATTTCTGTTTTGTGTACTTGGTAGCATTTCTTACTGCTTGTTTGATGTGAAAATGAAGCTGGCTTTCATCTGTTTGTTAGACATCTCGACAAAAAAAGAACCTGCATCTGTTGAACTTGTATCATCTTCATCTTGTACAAATATCACTTAAAAGAAATGGATAGGATTGAAGATGAGGGGTATTGATCTGCATCATTTGATATCATTAAGCCAGCAGAAAATTAGAGGTCTTCATTTCTTAGCTACATTAGATTCAGTCATATACTTTGTCAGATTTGATCAATGTAAAGACCACCCTTAACAGACTTCACACTAAAATCTCTTTGGGAGGTGAAGTGATATGCATACACCCCCTCCCCAATCCCCCAAGTTATTTCTTCTAGAGAATGGACTATTACACAAACATAAAGAACTCAAGAAAATTATGCAATTACTGTAGTCAGCAAAATGTTATATAAATAGTGCATACATTGGAATCCAGACTTGCTGTTGATAAGGAGTTCTGACTTACATTTCCATTAGTACTTAGTACACTGTAATGTCACAAGGGATTCTTCATCTCTCTGGGTTTATTTTGATAATAAAAACACTACCATGGAGTATTTTAATTATAAGGGTTTGTTGACATGCCTATATAATAGTTTGACTATATGTTTATTACTATCGTTATAATATCATGTTAATTTTGTCTGTATCACAGTTGATCTTTATCACAGCATTGCCTGAGTTGCACTAATATTCAGTCATTGTTTGTCTGTGTGACTGCTGGTTGTTATGATAACACATTTGGCACCCATCTCCCACACACTCTGTATCCCCCTTCACATCTTCCCAAGTAATCCATAATTAATGACAAAAACACAGCTCATCAAGCCTTTCTTATTATCTCATGCCTTCTTCACTGTCTGCGTTGACCTCCGCTCATCAGAGATTTTTGTTGGAGGAGGAACAATTATTATTTTTTCTTCCCTTTGGCTTTTCAGGATGTAATTGTTTTTTGGAGGTTGGAGATACATGATGGCTTTGAAGGTAAATGAGGTGTGATGTTGTGTTTTTTTTTTTTGGAATTTTGTTACCAAGACATTAGCCCCCCTCTTAAAATTGATATTCATGGTCAATTGTTACCAGGAATTAATCCCCCCATCTCTTCTTCTCCGGCAATGTTTTTAGGTTCAAGGCTATTTGATTGATTGGTTTGTGATGTGAAAGAGATTGTATTCTCCCATGTCTACTAATTAGTTGATGAATTTGGAGGAAATATGTTGTCTGTACATTTTATCTGTTATAATATATAACTATTAACTGGAATTTCTTTTGATCTTGCATTGTACCAGCCAATATAATGATCGACAATGTCATATGAAATTCTTAGGATATCACTTCATGTATATGCACTTTGAAACAGGTGAACATTGATCAATGGGTGCACAGCAATCTAAAGATTTATAATTAATAATTTGATGCTCGTGTAATTAAGATTAATCATATTTGATCACTTTAACTGCTAGATTTTTTTTTCATTTTATCAGATTTATAGTTCTCACAGGAGAGGCACTTTATGACTTGATTGCTTCTGAAGAAGAAAATTCAGGGATATTATTAGAACAGAAATGTTAAATGAATTCATAATATTTGATTAATCAGTTTGATTTATAGAAAGAAATGAAATCTCTTCATTCTAGTCAGATAAATACTACATCTTACCCTTTGAATACCAAACTTGAGATTTCGGACTTGAAAGGTGATAGTTTGGTTCATTTTCCTGAGGAAAATTTTATCAGTAAGCCATAGCTGATATACATTGTTTCTTCTGGCTATTAGGAGCTGGAAACAACTTGCCCAAACACCCAAATATTTTAAACCTTATCTTGTTTGTAAATGGATCAAATTATTTTACTAACTATGAAAAAGTAATTACTGATGATTGTGAGGAGGGGGTCAGGGGGGTGAATGTTTCTGACTTCAAGAATTTTCTCTGGATGCAGGCACTGTAGTGAAAGGAATATTTTTTCATTAATAAGATTTTTATATATCTATAAGCATGCAATTAAAATATTCATTGACAACAGGAAATGTTGCCTTTGTCATAATTGTGTCATCTATAAATAATTGATTATGTGGACTTTTTTGCAATTTTGTATAATTTGTAATTGAGGCAGTTGAGAATTTTATATCTGATTTATGTAGATCGAGTTTTGAATTTTTGCAAATTATTTCTGGTTTTATCACTAGATTGTTGTGATTAAGAAAGCAGTTTTTAGAAAATGTGATGTGACATTGATGATAATGTTACTTTCAACGTCAGTTTCCTATGTATGTTTTGGATCAAGCTCTATACTCATTTCTTTGGTCACCTCCGGCATTTTGTGGGTTAGTGATCCTGTCTGTTTCTAAGTAATTAGTGATTTTATCTAATTAGAACATAATGCATCCTGGAAAAGTGCTGCCAAGAATAACGTTTCATTCAGGTCTCCTGGTTAATTTCTGTCAATCTTATCTGGTGGATTGTGAATGTGACACAGGCTTAGTTGGGTAACAGCTATAGGCCATCACTGTTCAATTTACTGCATGTTTGTATACATGTATTTTATGCTTAATTATCAATGATAAACATTGTTTTAAATTGAATTGATAAATTCCTTCTCATCAGCTTCATGGCAATCTGTTGACATTACAATTTATACTTTCACTGTTATTTTGGTGAAAGAAGAAATTAATTACAATGTATTGCATAAATTATTCATACCAACTGATTAAAAGGTCCTTGTCGTTTGCAGTGAATTAATGAGCAACTTTTTAATCTGATTGCAAGGATCTTTTCTATTGAGCTGCCTTTGAGAGTGGAAGATATTTTTTTTTTCCTGCAGTGAATAGCTTGTGAAGGATTTTGCACTTGTAAGAATTGTTAAGAATTCATTTGATAGACACATAGATGCTAGCTTCTTAAGCCTTTCGGAATATTGCTCAGGTAAATCTATTATTGATGGCTCGATAGTTTGACGGACTCTTCTTGGCTGCTTTATTTTTTTTTTTCCTGTTGTGAGCTGCACGTCTAATGAAGTTGTCTAGGAGAATATTGATATAAGTATGTGATTGCTGGAGAGTGTATATTGGATATTAGCAATATAGGTTTGTCCATATACATAAGAGATACATATTTCACTGGTATGTAAATAGCAAGGTATGTGTATTACGTAAGAAACTTGGCCAGTGGGGGACAGTTAGGCGATATATTTTTTGATTTAATTAAAAGAAATTCTCATAAAACAAACACTTCCGTGGATTTATCATACTGCGTTTTAATTAATAACTGTCAACACCTGAAATATTCTAACCAGCATGTGTAAGATTGGTGTGCATGCATGAAGTTCTACTTTTTCTCATTGATATGTCAATGAAGGTCATTATTTTATGATCGTGTAGTGGTTCAGAATTTACATGGAAAACATGGGCTTGTCTCAAAAAATTCTGTCACATGATAAAATATATTGATGTTAATTTCTCCTTACCGTCAGACATTATATATGTACGACTTTATTTTCACAGCCTCGACAAGGTCTGTGCTGAAATCATGCATTTGACAGGCCATTAAAATGTGACTGGAAACCTATTGGTGTTTGCTTATACTAGCTATAGAGCAGTGCATGATGATATGCAGAGAGTTTCGCCACTAATTAGTTACAAATGTTTGTGATGTACTGATGCAGGTTAAATGAGGGGAAGAAATTCTGGTACCTTTCAGCTTTTGATGTATTGCAGGAGCGAATGTCATGTTCGTGTATTTCTTTGCTGGGATATGGAGGGGAAAAGTATTGTTTTGATTTCTTTTTTACCTGTAAGTTTTTCAAGGATCTTTATTATGTCTAGATATCATAAAAATGTTAATTATGCCAGTTATGGAATATATGCAATAACATATGATTATAACTAAAAGGATATTTTAAATGCTCCGTGATTAGTATGTATTCAATAGTATTAAGTAATTGCAGCTTGATAAAATTGCATTTCAAATTTATTCCCCTCTGCTATATACACATTGAATTTAAAAGTTTTATTGCTGACTGCAATTACATGAAATGTGTCTGGGAATACCATGAATACAACGTGCTTATATTGAAACTTTTTAATGATATATAGGGCTCTAGTGCAAGAATATTATCACATTGACATATATATACTAGATCTTTTATTCGATTTACCTTTCTGAGCTAGGCGACATATTAGAATTGCGTTTCTAACATAGTATTACCTGAAGTTATCAAATCTAACTGTAAAATAAGAATCAAAAGTCAATAAATTCACAACTTGTCACATCTAATGGTGTCTTTATGACATTTAGTTACAGTTTTATTTTCTACCTTCCGTTGGTTTAGGGTTATTAATCAGGATTAATTAATTAAGAAGGGAGTGTTTTGATTGGAATGACTTCCTTGTCGGATCTTTATGACCAGTGCTGGTATTAGATGTTTAATTATGCTTTAGTAAATGAGAATGTGGAGAATTGCTGCTACAACGAGAGTGTGACTTTCTAAGGGATATAATTGAAGACTTTGGAAAATTAATTTCTACTTGTTTCAGGTTAGGAACACCAGCAGTTGGTTTATGACCTATGGTGATTTTAAAGGTGAAGATTAGTTAACAATTTTAAGCTGTTTTGTGCATACTATGACAAAAAAAAATCATACAGTCATCCTTAAACTGTGTAGTTAAACTTCATTATCTTGAACACTAATTTGTTGAATGCCATTGATTAGAAATTGTGGACTGAGAATTGGACTACATATCAAGAATACCTGGAGACTTCGCTCGTAATCGTCGACGTCACCCTTCAGATATTTTTTTCTCCTCAACAGTTTGGGTTTATATAAGACTTATTTTACACTGTGTATAATTTTGTACATTTTTAGTCTTTTGAAAAAATAAACATTGATTTGGCCATATTATATTGGATGTAGTGTGCTGAAAATAATATAAACAATCTTTATTTGCTTACGAGGGGCATTTCAAAAGTTCTGGCAACTGTTGTGTGGTAAATTAATGAGTGTCATTATCATAAATTAAATTATATCAATCCCTCAAAATAGTCTCCGTTGACCTGGACACACATTTCCAGTCTTGAAATCCACGTGGAAAATGCTGCCCTATAGTCCTCTTTCGGTATATGCTTCATACACTGGAATACGGCACTTCCGACTGCATGACAACTTTCAAATCACCGTCCTCGAAGGGCTTCTTTGATAACGGCATTCAACCAAAAATCGCATGGAGCTAGGTCAGGACTGTAGGGTGGATGTGGTAAAACGGCAATACCATTTTCCTTTAAATATTTGGTTACTACCTCTGATCTATGGGCAGGTGCATTGTCATGGAGGAGCTTTATTCCTCTAGTTCTGGTTGTTGGTTGGGTCGTTTTATAGTGCTCTACAACCTGAGACATTAGACATTCTCTGCATAAAATTGACCAGTAACACTGCTGTGTTCTGGAACCGGAACTTGAGCAACAGGGCCTTTAGAATAAAAAAATAAGGCGTACATTACTCTCCGGACAGACCGGTTTCTGCGTGCAATTTGAAGCCTTGTATCATTTTCACCGATCCAAACTTTATTATTGAGCTTAGTTTCCGGTTCAAAAAAATATATCCATGTTTCATCACCAGTTACAATCTCATTTAATCGCCTTTGGTCACAATCTTCATAAATTGTTAGTAACTGTGAAGCCATTTCTACCCGGATGCGCTTTTGCTCTTCCGATAGAAGATGCGGCACCCATCTAGCACAGACTTTCCTAAGCTTTAAGTTTTCCTTTAAAATACGAAAAACTGCTGACGAATTAATATTAGTTAAGTCTGCTATTTCCTCTACTGTATATCTAGCATCATCAGCTATCGTATTTTGAACAGCGACGATTTCTTTTTCGCCATATGCACAAACTGGACACCCTGAACGGGGGTCATCTTCAATTGATTTGCTACCCTCTTTAAATGGAACTACCCATCTTGCTATTGCTCGATATGAAAGAGCATGCTCTCTATATACTACATCTAAGTCGGCTTTTATTTCTGTTGCCGTAAAGCCAAGCAATGAGCGAATTTTGCAATACACTCTTTGCTCAACAAAAAAATTGTTCTCCTTAGGCCACATAAATTTAAAATTTAGATTCTCATCCTAATTTGCTAAAAAATTGGGGCGGGTGGGCGGATTTTATTTTTTATTTTTTATAATTGAAAGTATCAATAAAACATTCGTACACGTAATTTTTACATTATGTTAATGTCAATATGAATAGATTTTATTGTTTTCATATTCTTTTAAATATCTACAGAAGATTCCAGCTGTTACAGACATTAAAATATTTATAGTTTTATTAACAAATTATCAAGTACACAGATACGGCACACGCCAAACAAAATGAGGTGCTGATCCTAATAAATTGCATAATGATATGCATGTTTTCTCATCGTCCTTTCCCCAAATACCTTATAGTTTTACCAACAACTCCTTCTGTTCTGTGTGATATATCACAGATTTCCACTGTCCTCATACATTCAATCGTTCTAGAGACTTGACATGTTCGACATTAAAATATATCATATTTGCAAAACAGGATTGTGTTAATCTGTAAAATATTCTACTGAAAAGCATAGGCCTGAACATTTTTAAGATTTAACATTTCCTTAGCACTATTATTCTCTAAAGTCTTTTGACGATGTTTTAATTTTTTTAATGCAAAATCACATACAAGTGGAGATCGTTATTTAAACCTCAACCATGTGTATTTTCTTCGTCTGTTTTTACTTGGTTCAAGTCTCTTTAAAAAACTTGCTCATGCCAGTGATGGTATCTAGATGTGTTTATGTTATTTTTGCTTTTCTGCCTTCTCTATACTGACAAATTATCTTTTCCTTACATATTTAAACTGCTTCTATTGCCAATTTTTCTCTAATCTTCACATAGTTTTTTTGCTATAAATGGCGCCACGTGACTTTTAATACAGACGGGAGATAACTCTTAAATTTTGACCCAGATTCTTGCTGAATAAAAATACATGAAAATAATATGTTTGGCATCCAAAAAGCAAACTAAAAAACAACGGGGCGGGGCACTTTGAGGGGGGCGGGCGGGGATGAGAATCTAAAGATTAATTTTACCTGGCCTTAATTATCAGTCATTTTTACGCCCAGTATACAGAGTATACCTAATTATGACATCATTTTAGCAGACCTATACGTCATTTTGAATGTAAAATGATGTCACTACAAATGCATATTTGCCTAAGCTTTACAGTGGTATCAGAGTCATTTTAATCCATAACGTAGTAAAATTTTATATACCAGTAAGTTGCCAGAACTTTTGAAATGCCCCTCGTACAAAGAATCATTTTGGGAAAACAGAGAGAAAATATTGAATATGTAGATTTAGTGATTCAGTCCCCTTAATACTTTGAAGTGATAAACAGAAATATTGCTGAGCAATATATAAGTACATTTAGATAAATATCAAGTAGAGAAGTGAATATGACTGGGAGAAATTTAGGATCATCTCCATCCCTAGTATAGGGTTTAGTGTGTTGGAAGTGTTGATACCTATCTATGGGTATATATTAATTCACTTGATTTCCCTTAACACATCGAAGCATCCCGAACTATCGGTCAACAATCTCACAAATAGCCACAGGACATGCAAAATGAAGAGAAAAAGGCTTAAAATATATTGTAACACATTGAAATTTTAAACTTTTTTTCATTTTTAAAATGCAGTTTGTGATGTAAACCTTGAGGGTAACTGCACCGTAGTACATGGCCCTTTCTAATAGCTATTGATGTGTGTGTTGGTATGCAGTGTTTTTCCTACCTTTTTCTCTCTGATGGTTATTTATAGGAATTGAACTCCCAACATGTGCCTACGATACAATCAATCAACAAACTGGCCATGGATCAAAGGCTCTACTGAATTGTATGTCAATCTGTCCTGAAAAACTTTCTAATCAAGTAGTTTTTACAGGGAGACAGATAGAGTAGGTTGGGTAAGTTTTAGAAGTACTGTTGGAAATTTGAAAAGATTAGTAAGGGTTGGAGATATTGAGGTGAACTTTTGGTTTCTTGATCCAATGATGTGAGTTCGATATGTGAAGTTTATAAGTTTGGCTTAAAATTAAGTTTTGGAACATTGGACCAGTGGTTATAAATGTATATGTGTAGTTAAGAGTTTGGTGTTAAGTTTCAGTATGTTTTTATTTTGATGGGTAGTTATTCAATGTAATGTGTTGTGTTTACAGGTAATTTACAACATATATCTTATTTCAATAAATCTTACATTGGCTCAATTTTCATCATCTTCATTCAAAGACCCCATTTGTTCTCAGAAATGTATAAAAGTTAGACATCAGTGACAAAATATCAAATGTTTATAAATATCTTTTATATGCATTTAGTGTAAATTAGAAAGTTATATGAGCAGAATTAAATTTGGTCATAGCTATATTAGTCGTAAGTCACAATATTTTGTAAAACAGGCCCCTGGGAGATAGGTAGACAGAACTTCAGTCATCATTGCAGCCCATATGAAACATTTGTTCAATACATCCTTGTGACTTGCTAGATATTGCACCACCTGTTTTTAATCAAGTTAGCTAATTTAATATGGTCACGGGAATAAGCCCACAAACAGAATGTGAACACAGATCCATTTTTATTTTGCCTTTTCTAGGTCTCCTCATTAGGAATTGACAGGGATTGATTGATTCAGGGGAGTTTTGTGCTGAGTCGAGAAATAAGATACCTTTTTACCGGGAATGGGATGGTTTTCGAAATGAGCATCCAGGATTTTGATGATCGGACACATGATCACATGTACCCCCACCAGAATGGGGGAGTGGACTACAGAGAAGGCTCGTTCATTTCCGATGAGGTGAAGGGTTACCAGGAATCTGGAGTATATCACTCAGACAGCCAAGTGGGGACCGTCTTCATCCGGATTTCTGTCCCAGAGCTCAAACTTCAGGTATGGACTTTTTTTAAGGGTATTTCTTTTTCAATAATCTCTAGAAATGGATATTTTTTGTATGTGTCTTTGATGCAGACCTTTGTAATTCTTTTGTTTATCATTTTCTGCTCCTTTTTGTGCATCTTGCATAATTGAAATCTGAGTCACATTACAGATTTGTAATGAATTTCATGGCTTTATTTCAGAAATGTCTACAGTTTGAGTTGGATGAAACAGTATGGCAAGCCAAACAAAGAATCCTGGGGTCATTCGCAAAGGTACAAAAGAAAAAAAAATGTCTTTCTTATGAAATTATCAGATATCCAATCAAGCAAAATGTAGAAAAATATTTTCTGAATGAGCATGAAAAGATGACTGGAAGGAATTTTTTAAGCAAATTAGAGAAAGGTCTGTTTACAGTATAATCAATAACACATATCTCTGAAATAATATTTGCTTTGGATTTTTATTCAGCATCCGCTGGTTATTAGATCAAAATAAAAAAAAAAAATTCAAATGAATTTCATTTTTTAGGACTTGAAGGACTCCATCAACTATGGCCTCTACTGTCCACCCATGAATGGGAGAGCGGGGAAATTTCTGGATGAGGAACGTCTACTAAGGGAGTACCCTCTACAAGGACCAATAGGATTTCTGGAGGTAATGATGTCTTCATCAATTGTTTAAGATTATAGTTTCATGTTTTGTTAACAGCCTGGATGGGGGAAACAATTGAGCTGATTAATGGTAAGGCTAATTGAAGTCCCCTGAAATAGTACATCAAGGGTGTTTTAAAAATGGATAAGTGTTACCGATAAAAAAAATTTTAAGGTTCACATTTAAAGATTTTTTTTGACAGGGAATTATAGATATTTCCTTGAAGAAGTGATTTTTTTACTTTATGCTATTTTACTTGTTATAAATTTTTCCTTCGGAAAAGACCGTACGTGTTGTGCATTTTGACACAAGAAAGACAGTCGAACACTTGTGGTGCCAAATTTGAAAGTTTATATTCTCAAAGAAACCACAAAAATTTTCTGTTTGGAGTTCTTTAAGAACCAAGCATGTCATAAAATAGAATATTAAAGTTCCATTATTACAGTAGTAATTTCTACATTCCTAAACAAATCTTAGCTTATGAAATTTTTTTATTGAATTTAACAAGAGTCATTTCAAATCTTGAAATTAATATTGCTTCAGGGATTTGACTGTAATTTTCTTTGTAAATTCAGATAATGACTCCATTTTATGAGCTTTAAAAGCAAATAATATCCTGTTCTCATGGTAACTGGGAGCAATTTTGCAGAATCAAGAATCTTAATTATCTATAAATTTTACATGTTTTGGACAGTTGTCTCATTTTGTGTCCAGATATTACATTGATATCTTGGAAGATTTATTTTCATGCTACAAGTCATATATTATGTTGGAGTGTTGAATTCTTTCAGTTTAAATATAAGAAGAGAGTATACAAGATGATGCACGTGAATGTCAGGAAGCTAAAACAGCTCCATGTAAAGGTGGGTACAAAAAATACCTTATAAAAGTGGGTCAGTGTCAATGACCTTTTCATGTATTAATTTGCTAGTAAATAACATGACAATTAAATTTGGCAACAGCTGTACTTAGCTGGGGAAAAAAATCAGAAATTTACAAGATTGAGGTCTATCTTTGAATCATGGAGAAGAAAATTTAATGATCTCCAAATATATGATATGTAGAAAAATAGCAAATTGGGAATATTCATTGCATACTTTACTCAAAATCAATGCTAGATATCTAAATTGTGATCAGAAAGGAAATCAAGGAGTGCAAAGCATTTTTTAAGACTTGTATGTATCCTGGAATTATTTATGTAACAGTGAATGCTTTCTTCATGTAACATTATCATTGAAGTTCATTAAAAGAAGTTTCTGAAGAAAGTGTACAACCCCCTTTTCTTGATGTTTTCTTAGATGTAAAACGATCAAATCTCTATTGTCCATTTCAGAATAAAAAAAGATTGACTTTAACCTCGGAAAAAAAGTTCATATTTTTAAAAAGAATAATCATGAGAAATCAGGCATCCTGCAAATGCTGTATTTTTCTCTTCATACACATGTATGTTTGTATCTGTTAGCTTAAAATAATAAAGATAAATTAGCTAGGCCATCTTTTAAAAAAAAAAAAGAAGTTTCCTTGTCCACTCCCGACTCAAGATAAAAAAAAATATGGGTAGGTGGGGGGGATTTTTTTTTTTAAATTCAAAACCACTTGCAAAAATGATGTTAAGATAGTTATTAATGGAATGAGAAGACTTTGGAATTAAAAAATAATAATTGTTTCCTGGAGGTCAAAAAAAGTTTCGAGTCTGGCTGTTTTTTTGTCAGTCGGTCGGGAGAGGGCAAACAAACATTTTTTAAAGATGGCCTTATGTGACATACTTCTACAATAAAGCATGCTTGTTCATTAGGACAATTTAATTGAATGATAATGGTGACATGTCACCACTTTATGGGAGAAATATGAGCAGAGGCTTGGCATTCTGCAGACAAATGTGTACTGACTAGGTGTCACAAACTGTCTATTTTCTCTGTATTGTAGAGTAACCTGAGACATTTTATTGACTATGTCAGGACCTGCAATATTGAGAAACTCAACAAAATATCTAATAAAGGACTGGACCCCAACTTCCACGATTCAAGTACAGGAGGTATGGAATAAATATCGGCATTAGTTGTTTGCACCGTACACATGCAATGACACCATGCATGCACGTCATAGACTTTGTACAACCTTTGCAGTCTCATTCTCAAAGATTTGACTCCTGCAGTCTCTTATTTATGCAAAATTATATCTGCCATTCAGTTGTAAGATATATGTAAAAATTTGAACTGCTTGCTTGTCACCATGGAGAAAAACATTTTCATTGATATTTTTAAAGTGACCAAGGTGTTAATGAATTTATCTGGAACATAAAAGAAAATCTCTGTGTTTCATCAAAGTCTTATTTTCAATTTGAGTCTGCATGTTGATGTTCAATAATGATGAATAAAATTTATTGTATGGCTTGTAAAAATGATCTATAAAAATCATGATATGTAAATTCAAACTTCTGGAATGAATGGCAAAATATAAAGGACACTATTAATATATATAATTGTTTTTCATTTCTTTTCTAATTAATTCAAAAACCATACTTTTCATATTAGAGTAAACCTTTTTCAAGATGAAATTTTGTTTGCAGAGACCCCTTTGTGTTTGGCTGCCTCCATGAATAAGCCCAAGTGTCGAGAGCTGATCATCTGTTTAGCAGGTGGGGGAGCCCACTTAGACTTCAGGAACAAGAAAGGAATGACAGCCCTTCATGTTGCTGTTATAGCGGGCAACACAGAAGCCATCAAGGTGGGCACATGGGCAAAGTGGGCACTTCCATATGGGGAGATAGATGTAGCAATAGAGTGGAGAGCACCATGATCTTAGAACCCAAAATATTTAATTTGTGAATTGAATTGTGCTGGGCATAGAGTTTAATTATTTTTGTCACTGGCTAAAGGAAGATGTGAAATACTTGTAGATTTTTACACATTTATCTTCCTTCACAAGTTGTCAACTTGATGATGTTCATTTTAGCCAACACACTGTATTCTGTCACCTACTGCGACCTAGCTTGTTTTACCAACTGTATGGTGTTATTTTTTTCCCCTGCTGACGTCTATTTGATACATCTTTATGTCACTCTGGGTAATCTTTTGAACAATTCCAACACCAGCATTAAAAAAATTTATCAGTTGTGTATTTCTTTCCTGTTTCCACAAAAATGGTGACTTAATATGTAATTTTTTCCTTTTTTTACCTCTGTAAATCTTCTGAAGATAGACTCCTGTTTTGGTCTCTTCTGTAAAATAGAAATTTGCATGTTAACACTACTAGAAAGTGAATGCTAACAAGGGACGGTGTTGTTAAGGCCAATGTGTCTGTAGTAGAAACAGAGTTGTCAGCAGTATTTATTTCCTGGGTCCCTAGTTCAATGTTTTCTATGTGCACCAAAGGATGAGACAGGGCTATTAATCAAGAGGCTTTACTTCAATGAATTCTGTTGTCTGTATATCTAAATTGACTATTTGTGAACCTGGTATCGTTACATGTATTTAATACATTTATAGACTCGATGAACAAAACATAGGCATATTTCATCATTATTTTGGTTTTAAGGATACATTAAATCATCCTTCATTACAAATTAATAGACGGAGTGAAGGAAAGGTGAATGAAAAATAATTAATTTATAGTTGGCCAAGAGTTCTTAGAAAACTTTATTTATATTAGTGTATTATTTGCCAGAATGAAAGAAATCAGCTAAAGAAATGTTGCTTACAGTTCTTATGTATTTGTTGTATAGGATGTTAGTAATCAAAAGGTAGATTTTAGGTAGTAAGAATTTTATTGGGAGTTCGTTTTTTTTTTTTAACCAGTTATATTTTCTTGGCAGGTAAGAAATGAAAATATGCAGTATTCTGCCATCTTAACTTTAAATTTTAAGCAACAATCATTTATTTACAGTATGCAAATCTTATTGCAGTTTATTTTCCTCGTCCTTTTTCAGACCTTGTTGGATTTGGGTGTGTCCCCTAACATCAAGGACAGTCGATCTCTGACCCCCCTCTACTATACAGTCTGTCACTGCTCGAGCCCCGGCTGTATGGAAATGCTATTACAGGAGAGAGCCTTTATAGGGTCACAAGATGAACAAGGGTGGTTTGAAATTCATCATGTAAGGGAAATTTTATCAAGTATATTGAGGATTAGATATAAGATAATCTTTCAATAAAACAGTAAAAGCAAAAAAAAAAAAAAAAAAAAAAAATGATGGGAGAGACTTTATTGATGAAGAAATATTAAAAGACATCTTCAAGTAAACAAAACATTTCCAAGACAGTGGTAAAAAGAAAATTAAATACCTCTTTAAGAGGATAAGAAAAGATGACAATTTTTTTGAAGTTGACAAAAGATGAACCTGTACATGTATGTCAATATATAGATAGAAAATAAGCTGATTGTGAACATGAGAGTGTCAAGACTTAGGTCACCTCTTGATTTAAGGATGGGTTTTAGTTTGTATGGATGTACCTGTATTTGTTTTAAGTGATAACTGAATTATTCTCTGATGCAGGCTTGCAGGCAAGGTTTAGTGCAGCATTTGGAACACCTCTTGTTTTATGGAGCTGACATGGACGTTCAGAATGCCAGTGGAAATACAGCCCTGCATGTTTGTGCATTACATAACCGAGTAAGCTTGTATTTTGTTTTCACCATTCTTATTGCCATATCAACTGGAGAGGAAAAAGATACACATTTTAAATTTCCTGTTGCTTTATTGTTTGAAATAAAAAAAATTTTATTTGTATGTGTGGAAGGGGGGTGGGGGATGCAGTACAAGTTTGTTAAACTGTTGTATTTTGAGATAAATTATTGCTACACTGATAACTTGTTATGAAGGATGGTGTGGGGAGGAGCAACTGTTCCTTGTGCCTGTGATGTAACAAATTGCATTAAACCTGAAATTGACAATGTCAATTACACTTGGAGCACGTACTTTAACAGATCAATTATGCTTGAGTCATGATAACCAGGGGCAATAACTATGTATATTCATCTTATAGAAATTTTGGCAAAGACTCTGCTTGCACTGAACAAAAATTTCTTTGTACATATTTTCATTTAAATGTTACCAGTGTGAACAACCTTTTGGTCATTTCTAAGAAAAAGTGTATTAAAAAAATCATTTAAAAGATTTTTGAGCTGATTTTGAATATTTTGAAAAATGGAATTTAGTTCACTGGAATATGTTTCTATTACTCAGGAGTCTTGTTTACGAGTTTTACTGTTCAGAGGAGCCAGTAAGGAAATACTTAATTACAGTAACCAATCACCCTATGAATCTGCCATCTTGGCTGGAAATGATGCCCTCGCAGAAATCATCGAGGGGCATAAAAATGAGGATGTTGGTAAGATATAGAAATTGTTGATCAGAATAATTTTTTTTTTTTTTTGGAAAATTTTGTCAATAACAAATAAACTTTTAAAAGTAATTCAAGGTTATTGTATTTTACAAGCAAACTCTTGTGAATGAGATTTTTAAAGTAAGGAAAATATAGAGTGAAAACATAGTTCATTATTTAGAGAAAATTTAATTTCAACTGGCTGCATTATGGTAGAGCCTCTGGAACTAATGACCAATTTCTAAAGGTGTCAGTGATGAAAGTATGTGTGCCAATAAATTTAGGGGTTATAACTGAGGATATCATACCTGTCAGTGTAAGATTCCCTGACTTTGGGGGTTAATGGTCAAACAATGAATCTGTCAGGGTCACAAAAAGAAGCAGGTTTATGATGATTAATGTCTGTTCTCTTGTCAGAGAGGTCAGGTGTTTTGTCAGGTGCAGACAAATTAGGCCATCTCAGGCCATCTTTCGCTGAGTAAAAGATGCAGAGGTCTTGATGATGACCTAACGGAGAAAAAGGTTCTTATTATCAAGGAAAATGATTGTCTATCAACACTTATATATATATCTTGTATCTTTAGTTAATTCAGTCACATAGAACAATGTGGAAAACAAGAGACATGTTATGTTCAAGGGTCCCTATGCCCCTTTGAGTCTTTGTTTATATGTTGTTCACTGAAAAAGAACTCCTAGAGGAGGTAAAATGAAAATAACTGTGAAACATTGATCCTTAGTGTTTTTAAATTTCGTTATTCTTTTAGAAACTTCATGTCTTCTAGATCTAGGACTGTAAACATACATGTATTACATTCGGTTGTGTATTCTATTTAGTGCCTTTTGCACTTTCGCTAAATCAAGTACATTGCTAAATGTCTTGTGTGTGTGTGTCTATATATAAATAAATAAATAAATATATATATATATATATATATATATATATATATATATATATATATATATATATATATATATATATATATATATACATATATATATATATATATATATATATATATATATATATATATATATATATATATATATATATATATATATATATATTCATATGTATTGTACAGCAGATTTAGAAAGCACTAAATTATATCTAGGCTAACTTGTTGAAAAATCATTTTCCACCAATAGAGTACATGCCAAATAAAATACATTTGCACTATCTAGATGCATACAATCAGTATCACCTTGACCAGCAATGTATATAGTTACCTTGCCTTTGTAGTACCATTCCGTGAGACTCCTAGATTCAGCACCAGAAGACGAGATTCTGTGGCGTCTGCTGCCATGTATGCCCTTTACCGTTCCCGTAGCGACCCGAGGATAAACCAGATCTTAATCAGCCCCTCCTCCTCCACCCAGAGCTTCTCACACCTACACAACAGCATGACCACAGACTCGTACTCAGGCTCCCGGGGGACAGACTCACCATGCTCAATGAGTCTGTCTAGCTCAAGTTCGGGCCCAGGTGAGTGTGAGGACTGTGTATCTTTGGTTGGGGTATTGCATTGTTTATTAAAATGGATGGGAAATTATGTTTGAATAGTATTATAGTATTGTGGATAACTTACTTTCATAGGTGTTAGGATTTGTGGGTTTAGTGATATGTTTTGGTGGTGGGCTAGAAATTGATGGGAGTGATATGAAATGAGACTAGCAGATTTTTCTCTGGCTGTTGTACACAAATGGTGAATATTGTTGTACAATGTCTTTTTACGTTGTCATGTTTTAGTACTTCAGCAGAAATACCCAATTGCTCATGTGTAAAAATAGGTTTGAATGATATCACACAGCAGATGTTATCAAAACTACCTTTTATGATATATGTGATGTATCTGCTAACAACTTTATTTTTGTTGTGTTCATTGTGATTTTAAAGGCTTCTTTGGAAAAGGAGCAAGTGCATCTTTCCCCTTAAGGCGGCCAATGTCCGTATGCCAGAGCCATTTTCCAGAGCATAGTAGACCCACCTTTCAGTCTCAGTTTGAAATTATCAAAAAGAGGCTGACGCCTGCCAACTCTTTTCGCTCCTTGCAATCTCGAGACCGCCTGGACATAGAATTCCACAAAGACCTCCAGAGAAGACTGTCCCTGCAATTTGAGTTGAGGAAACGGAGTCAGTATTATCAGAATCTCACGGTGCCCAGAAGTCACGTGACCCGAAGCCAGAGCTCTGATCAGGGGAGCGATACTTCGAGCACTAAACTTTCGCCTTCGATGGAATCCATTGATAGTGTTCGGAGCCAAAGCCCTCATTTAAGTACATTTTCGTCCCATTCTGGAAATGTGTATAGCAGTTCCCGATCTGTTGAGGATAGCAGGAAGTGTGGTAGGGATCGTAACAAAAGTCAAAACACTGCCCCAGTGCGGAATACTGTTTGTACCTCAGACTGTGCCATATACAGTGTCATCTCAAAACCTAAAAAACACAGAATGCCAATGAAAATTCAGGGTCGTGGGAATGTTTGTAAGCAAGAAGAAATCTACTCAAATTCCAGAATTTACTCAGAATCTCAAGATAAATGTAAAAGTCTTCCCAACAAAGACCTGGTCAGTAGACAGAGAAGTGCACCAGCGGGGGACGTATATTCATTTATTTCGGCCAATCACTGCCCACCTGAAGCCAAGCTGGAGTTGGAGACTGACCACATTTTTGTTTGCATTGAGCGCTATGTGCCTCGTACACCTGAGGAACTGGCTCTGGAGAAAGGAGACATTGTAGAAGGTTTATCTCCCTTAGAGCATGTGTTTTAGTTTGCTGTATGTTGTATTTACACAAATTATTATTTCTTTCCAGCATTTTAAGACATCTTTTCCATTTTGTAGCCATGCTCTGTTAATGCATTTTTATTGCATTTTTCATTTACTTTCTATCACCAGTTATATACTAGTCCTGATTATCAAATAGATCTGTAATTCATATCTTAGCACATCAAAATATCAATATTGAGATATTTATTATGGCATGGAGTCTTTCTATTTATAAATAAAATTGCATGTTATTTGTTGAAATGCAAATTTTTGAACATTGATTTATGTAATTATTTGATTACAGGGGTTTCCAACTAATGCATGTGCTGTTGATATTCATTAGAATGAATTCAGATTTTGGGAGGAAATACAATTATATGCTATATAATAATTATGTATTGGCTTAAATATGTATGTACATCGTTATCATAAGAAATTGAGATTTAAAGTGAATGAAAGCATGCAAGTATGAATATGTATTCATAAATATATTGAATTGTTTTGATTGGCATGTAGTTAGTCTGGAAAAAAGTATCATTAAACTTCAAACCTAGATATCGGCAAATAAATTTCAGTGATTTTTTTTTAGTGTGTTGAATTAATTTCAGAATTGTTTGCTGTTTTAATTCTATTTATACTATAGTTTATTTAGTATTGAATTTTAGAATTCCTCGCAGTTCTCCAGTATTTACTTTGTAATGTGTTAAATTCCAGTTTTATAGACATAGTTTTAATTATCACTTTTTTTATCACTGTCATATTTTATCATTTTAGCTAGTTCATAATTCCAGTTAATTCTAATGTATAATATTGAAATCATATATATTACAGAATGATGAAAGAAAGAAAACATCTTGATAATTTAAGGCAGATTGAGAAATTTCTGTATGATACGCTAATTATATATAAACATATCTTGTATATTTCAGTCCTTGGAGTTGGGGAGCAAGGATTCTGGGAAGGTCGAGTCAATGGCAACGAGGGAATGTTCCCTAGCAATTATGTTCATGAAGTCAAGTTAAGGAGGAAAGGTATGTTTAAAATTAATTAATTTAATTAATAAAATGAATTTTTTTTATGATAAAGTTATTAAAATACAGACATTCTATGGAAGAGGCAGTTCTCTGAATTGGTGGAAATAATTTAAGCTCCTATATTTTCTAGCTGCAACATTAGAGCATAAATTATTATGAATCGACAAAGGTGAACATCATGTTTACCATTTTGATATGTACATGTATGCACAAAAGACTCTTATGTTTGGATGTTGTTATGTTCAATATTTCATACCAAGAGCTGTGAGAAGCCATTCCTTTGTAAGATAAATGTGTAATTAAATTAGTAGTAATGGGACTGTCTGCACTTATTGTCTGATGGCCTCTGATGTCTGATGTCCTAACACAGTGTGATTCTGTAGTGGGCTGCATGAGAGAGAGATCAGCCCTGGGGATATTGTCGTGTTGTGATTAATTGATAATCTCATGTCAAAACAATTTATGAGCTTCATTATTTAGATTAAGATTTTATCCAGTCAAATAACACATGATCGTATAAAAAATTGATTTAAAAAAATAATTGAATTTTAAATTGAATATATTTTTTTTCTAATGATGAATGGTTATCTAATAGAATCAGTCAGTGATCAGTGTAGAAATGTTTACACCTGAGCTAGGTGTAAAAACAATAAGTGATTTCATTATGGTCTCCCTAGGGCCTTTTAACCTATGTAATGGCAAAGGAGATATGGACAGGCTTGACCATTTTACATTTAAAGTTGATCAGTTTGGCCATCCCAGTCAGTCAATGATTTATGGATCTTGAAATATGAAAAAGCTTGTGTTCCATTTATATATATCAGAATTTGATCAGTTTCTAGGTAGCCTGACCTGAATAGTTTTTTGTGATTGATGGACATATTAATGATTTTTTGCTGGCTGATGCATTTTCAAATTGACCGATCAAGACCATGCTGTTTTTAAGATGTTTCCTACACTAAGTGGCTATAGGCATTTATATATCTCAGGAATGAACAACTTTTCTTACCCTTATTAATTTTGAAGTTTGGTCATGAAGGTGGTAGAGCTAGGTGTTAAGTGATTTCCAAATTTAATAGTGTGTAAAACAAAAATGGCCAAGGACGGTTTAGGAACACGAATGTTAAAGCATCGTCTTGCATACAGAATGACAGTGGATACTATACTTTCAGCTGGTTCCCTTGGTGACCTGGTGTCCGCCTCCAGACATGACATGATGCTGAACAGAAATACACTAGCTGCCATTGTACCAAACTTCAGGTAGGGATACGCGATAGCTGATTTATGACATATATACATGTATAATTATAATATATAGATTGCATGAGATTAAGGAATACATGTATTTTTGTTAATACATATTGGAGTGCTAGCAGGTTGTCTTTTATGATTCTTAAATCAAAATTGATTGCATATATACATATTTCATTCATGCTTCAATACTAAATTAACAGTGATATCTTAAGAATAGTTTCAAAAGGTTTGTTGAAATGTATTTTGTGGTGAGTGGGAAAAAAATGTGTTATTCAGGGAGATAACTCTGTCAACACTATTCTAGACAGAGGGGCGAGATCACTGCAGTATTGAGTGAGATAATTTGTGTAGTTGCATGGTTAGCATAAGCTTTGTCCCAGGTTATTTATAGTATTTATAAAATTTTAATATAAAAAATTTATTACTACAAAGTCCTGCTGATAATTTGTAAAAATTTACATTAGATATATGTGATATGTCAAAGATTCATTATTGTTCACGTACATCCTCATTTATAACTGCAGTATCAAAGTAAGAGAAGATATTAAAATGTGTAAGCAATTCACAGTTTGACAATTTCTTTTTTCAAATTAATGCATTAATTAGATAAATTACATGAATAGTTGGGAGTTAAATATGCCCGTGGACAATTATCATTTTAGACCTTAATGGATTAGAGGGGGAAATTATCATTATACATACACCTTAATGGATTAGGTTTCAGAGTCTAAATTTACACTTTATTAATGTACGTTTAGTTTCTAACAGCTGAAATTAATCCTGTTATATAGTTAGATTTGAAATATTGTCCATTTGAATGTCATATTGTAGTGCTGTTAGATATGTCTAAGTTAAATTCTGTGGCAACATGGACACAGGTATTTTAAGGATTAGATTATGACGTGAATTAAAGTTGAATTTATCACTGATATCAAAAGGTGTAGCCATGTGTACAGTGAAATTTATTGTTTAACAATCCCATTGTAATTTCCTTGTAAATGCATCAAAGGGTGTGAAAGATACTCAAATGTTTTCCCTTATCATAGAGCAGTTTTACATGGAGAGGGATGGTGAAAATGGGGGTGTTTGTTTAACGTTTGCTGAGATACAAATTTTATAGTTCACTTTATGTCCCCAGGTATGAAATTTACCATCTGTCTGTTTTTCACCTGGTGGAGAGAGAATTCAACATAATGTACAAAAGTTGACATATTTTGTATTGAAAGAAAATTTTCCTGTAAATTAACAGAGTTTGTTCCAAGTAACAAACACTTTTAAGAAGAAATTAATTCTTTATGATGTAATATATGGGTGAACCACATTGTTTTTTTATAGAGTCATGGGAAATTCATTTAATTTGATTGCCATCTCTTGCAACTGATTAAAATCAATGTTGAATAAATTGGAGTTTTGTAGATCTTTCCGTGAGTGTCTAGATTAGATTCTTGATAAAATTATATTGAAATTTTGGATACAAGATATAACTCAAGGTTAAAAGTGAAAAGACACTGTTTATTGGTAAGCCATTATTACTATACATACATAGTGCCTGATACTTTGTCAGTACTAAAATAACTAAAGATTTCAGAGATATGCCAAGGTCAAAAGTTGAGGAGTGACATTATCTGATTTATAAATAGCATCTGGTGACCTGTACCCCTTTGAGAGGAGATAGATTACATGGATACCATAGGACTGCTGGTCAGTTTGAGGGTATACTTTCAATGAGAAAGAGGTGGCACCATGGTGGTCATACAATAAACCAATGAAAATTATAAAATCCTTTTAAATAAATTTAAAAAAATCAAATAAAATTTCATTCCTTGTACCATCCACCCTATAACTACACCAATCATGATGATATCTGTTTACTTTGTATATACAAGTCTAGTGTACTTCACTTGGTAATAGGAACCTGTGGTGACCATCATAAATGAATATGGTCAAGATTTCTTCACAACAGGGTCATTTATTTTTAGACCACTTTTTAAGGTCCAGATATGAGTATATTAATTTAAATATCTGAAAATATTTTTGAGCAATTTAAAAGTATTTACTTGTAGATCAATACATATTATTTTATATGCATTTAATTTTGTTAAAAAGAAAGATTAACTTAAAACCTTTCCTTTAAACTTATTAGCTATTATTAATATATATGTGAAGTAGTTATAGGGGAGTGGGGTAGAGAGAAAGAGAGATCAAATTTTATTCAAACTATTTATTGACCTATTATGTCATTTATATTTAGCATTCAACATTCCATTCTATTCCTACTTGACACAAAGTTCACATTTATGGCATTCTAAAATCAACATTCTGTATTTAGTACTAGGTTGAACATTTTGTTGCCCTAAAATCAGAATGCCCATGTCTGTTTGGCTGTTGGTCTACATGTATATAGAAAGACCAATATTACAGCAGGGCTCGACATTAACGCTTGTCCGCTTGTCCGGTACCAGTGAAAAAAAATTACGGACAAGTGAATATTGCCGGGCACTTGTCCGATTGGACAAGTGCATTTTAATGTAAAAGAGTCTCTAAATAATAAAAAGAACAACTGTTGAAAGTTAATCGGTAAATTCAAGACGGAAGCTGTACATAAAAACCGGACTTCGATCCCGATAGAGATCGTTAATTGAGTTCACATTCGATCGGGATCGAAGTTCACTAATTGCATACTACTGAACAGGCATGGAACTTACGAACTTAACGAATGTGGACATTTATGTTGTTGTCAGGACAGAAAGCCTAGAAAAAAATTCGTTTTATGTGTTTTTGTATTTATCAATAACATCATGAGTCAATCAAGCACATGTCATGTGTAATGGACTTTATTTTAGTTTTCAAGTTGACAGTATTAGATCTCTAGTGAAAAATTTTCGGACAAGTGAAGTTGAAGTTCGGACAAGTAAATGTCTTGGTCACTTGTCCGAATGGACAAGTAGGAAAAAAAGTTAATGTCGAGCCCTGTACAGGACTAAGTTAGGCGGTTATGTCAACAGAATAGAATATAGATAGCAATTGAGATAAAAGACCATGCAACATTTTTTTCTTGCAGAGTTCTTCTAAAGATATGTCCATTTTTTTTATTTTTTGTTTTATTTTAATTTCCATTTCATTTTAAATAGATACAGTACATATAATTTTCAGGAACCTGCATGAATACATGTAATATGCAATTTAAAAAAAAAAATCTTCTCAATTGAATTGCAATCTTGGGTAAAAAAAATGTCATCCCAAAATTATACCTTATGTAACATATAACTTCTTTACTGTGCAGACAGTAGATAAAAAAAGTAGACATTTAGTCTTTCATAAAAGTGAAACTGGAGAGTTTTAAAACATACATTGTAAACTTAAATCTGAACGGTACTTGACAGTATCGCAGCAATGACATTTTTCTCATGCCCCCCGATTGTTAGTTTACCCATCTATAGACCATGTTTCCGTGCAGGACTCTATACTATCTACTTATTTAGACATTGACGATTATTTGCTCCTGGTACACAAAGGCTAATTTATATGTATATATTACACAAACTTACATCACCTGAGAATTTACTTCTTATTAAGTGTTTTGTTTGCCTTCATTGTCACCAGAGAATTGGAAAGAACCAAAAAGGGGAGAACATTCTTTCCATAAAGTTTGTTTGAAACAAACAGAAAGTTTTAAAACAGATGTTATTTTTAGAACTATATGAATACAAAAAGCTATACATTAGAGGTCAAGATGCATTCTTCATTTAAAATTGACAGTGACTTTAATTGACACATTTGATACAGAATTGACTTACAGAGTTAGATAATAAAAATGCAAATCAAGAGGAAAAAACAGCATTTTCTAAAACTAAATTTCTTTGTAATGGGTAAAATTGAAAAATGTATTGAAAGGTAAAAGGCCAATGACAATTTTTTTAATATAGGTTCACTCAATTTTCATTTCATCAGCCGTCCTGATGAGTGACATGTTTTCTGTAATTTACATGGCTAACACTGACAGAAGTGGCTATAAACTAGAAACATATTCACTCTGTTTGTCCCGCTGTCATAGGCTTATAATCAAGTACACAGCACATGTGGATAAATTTAATCAAAAGAGATGTGCTTGGTTCAAATTATTGTCCTGTTAATTAATGCAAGATATGTTTGCTTTGCAATTTGCATATTAGTCAGAGGCAAAATATTTTTGCAAAGTAGACCATGTCTGTTGTTGGTAGGCATGTATATATATGTAAAGTTGTCAAAATGTCATGTTTTAGAATTATACAAATTATTTTTTGCAGTCTAAAATCAAGACGACAGTTTATAATATATAAAAATATTTTTTTGTAAGACTTAAAGCTGCTTTGTGTTCAATTAGTTTTATACCCTAACTGTATTATTTTTGTAACCAAATTCCTAAAATTTGCTCTCTAATGGGATAAAATGATATCATATTGGAAAAAAGATAGAATTCCATGCTTTAAGTGACATCTTTGCTTGAGGTAAAATATATATACCTACATATCTATGTTAAACACTTTGTGTGTCCTCAACACGCCTAATCATATGATACCCCGCGATTACCCTGCATGCCTGCCTCAAAGGCGAACACAGAAGAACTTAATCTCTACGAAAATATATTGAGGAATTCTTGTCAGTTGATGTAGATCTTTGCGGAAAGAATTTGCATTGTGTCAATGGAATCTTGCCAGACCAATCCCCCTGTGGACAAAAAAGCACTTCTAGGTGGTCATATATTGTAATTTGTCACTTTTGGAACTTTTTGGAGGAGTAGTATTGCCTTTTATACTGTTAGTATGGTCCTTAAGAGAGACCTGAAAGTGAGAGAAGATTTGAGATATGAGGTCATGAATGGCCCTCATCTGCAAGTCATAAAGCTCCAAAAATGGGTTTCGTGTCCAAAAAGGTTGGCAGTTAGGCCTATGGTAATAAGCTCATATCATTTACTTTAGCCAGTACGTTGCATTATTGTACACGTTTAGATGTTGAAAGAAAGTCCT